TTATGGTGCAAAACCAAAGATGATTATAGCACGCCAAGTTGAAGTACAATGAAAATTTTCTTATATGGTTGTATTTTCCATTTGTTTTTCAGATTGAAATTTGTCAAGATTTATATGATACAATCAGGAATTATAAAACTGAAGATGGCCGTCTTTTATGTGAATCATTCATTCGAGCTCCAAATCGAAGGTATGCTGTGCCTATCCATAATGTAAATCTGGTGAAAATCGTTAATCTTTCTCAATTTTTATCTATTTTGAAATGCAAAATAATTATATATATAAAAAGGCAAAGATAATTCTGTTTGTAAATAGTTCTTATGGTCTTTAAGAGTCTTTAGGTTTTTGTGAAGTGATTCTTAGCATTTAAAAGTTCTTAATTTTGGGCAATGTAATTTCTATCCCTTTCCTGTGACTGCTATTCTTGATGTGAATTAAAATTTCAACTGAATAAAGTAGAGTTCATTCCATGCAACTCGTAACAGAGCCACCACAAATTGTATTATAAAGAACAAGGAACAATCAGCCACCCTAGACTGAAAAGTTTCAAGATGCTTAGTTGTTGTTTGTTCAGCATTTCAAAATAGATATTATCAACAAGAATATTGTCTGCTTTACTGAAAAATAGTTCTCGGACTTTGACCTTATAACTGTAGTTCAGCCTAATGTGATGAAAGTATGAACTTCAGAAAAGTTTAAGCTCAAATTTTGTGAAGGTCACACTTTCACCCACTGTTATTGGTGAATTCAGGAATTCTTTAAGGATATGAACAAAAGACGTGAGTAAAGCTCTCAAATAAGGAGAAGGATGTTTTCAGAAGGCTCTATAATTTCTATGAAGAGTTAAGGATGACAGTGTTTCTAGGGCCCCTATTGTTTCTAGTGGCATTTAGAACATTGGTTTAGAGAAAAAGTTGCCAGTCAAATAAAAAAATTAAAAAAAAAAAAAAATCTGTATGAGAGGTGGTTGGCTATTGAGGTAATTTTTCTATCACAGTATAGGTTACAGCAAGATTTACTGACCCTTGATTAGTTGATATCTGCACATTTTCATGAGTTTTTATTGCTCTAGTTTTTAAATCTTTTTTACTTTTTTTTTAACTGTAATTTTTTTTTTTTTTTTTTTTTTTTTTTTGACAGTTTCAATTTTTTCACAATTATAAATTTTTGGGCTGTTTGGAGGATGTCAGTGCAAATTTTGCTGTTTGCGTACATTTTTATTTCAACAACACACAACAGATCTTTTTCCCTTCCCGTAATATAAATTTTTTGGTGTTCATTACGTAGCTTGTTTATTTTCGATATTTTGACTGATTTTAAAATCAGTTTGATTGCAAAAATTTTGAATCAATGATTTGTGAATTTTGTGGCAATTTTTTTAACAAATGTAATAAAGTTATTATGATATTAGATAAAAATAAATGTAATAAAGTTATTATGATATTAAAATAAGAATAGTATGTTTAGCTTAAACTTCCGAGAAAAAATTATTAAAATAAAATATTTTTCTATCCATCTGTCATGTTTTAAACTGGTTTCTATATTTCATGTTGGTGATTTTCAAATATCTTGATTATATGATTGATATTTAAACAAAATAATAAATGCTATGAAACGTAATTTCTGAATTGCTTTTTAATGCAAGCTGAAGTGCTGCTCTAATTCTGCAAAACTTAAAAATTTTCTAATTTTTTATAATAATTGTTTTTCCTTCTATATGGAGAATCATGCATTAAGTCATATAATACATGGATTGTAAGAACTTTAGATTGGGTTTTTGTAAAAGCATTGCTCAGGAGCTTATTTTTTGACATGAACATTCTTTTCAAAGGCCTTTAAGACTTTTGTTTTTGAATAGTTTAAATATTAAGAAAGGCAACTGTAGAGTTTAAGTAAATTAATCCATTTCCTTTATGATGTAGCAATTCATTCATGTGAGCGAGAGATGCGCCGCATCAGCCAAATCAGCAAGAGGTGCACATCATGTGCTGTTTTGCATCACAACTTCTCTTTTGCCTGAGTCTCTTTTGGTGGGTTCCATTGACAAGAAAAAGTTTGCTATAAAATGCTTCCAGTATTAATCTCGTTTCTGTGTGTTAAATAAAATATATTTTTATATTAAATGCTGTTCGTTCAATAAGGAAGTCAGATCAACTAGTGTCAACTTAAATGATGACTCGAACATGATGTGCGCCTCTTGTTGATTGACTTAAAACTTTTTAAGGATTCTATTGTAATTTCAAAAAAAGGGAGCCTAATATGCTTGCCAGTCTAACTAGACTTGAGAACTTCCAAGTTAATTTGCAGAAAGTATGATTTACTACAACTTTAATAGAAGTTGCCGCTTCTCAGAATATGGCAAACATGCACATATTCTTCAGTTTTAACTAACAATGCTGCCATTTTTTATGCATTTTTCTTGTATTCTAAATTCTAGTGGTTCAGATAGCCAAGTTGTCATATTATTTGGTCTTAAACTCACTTAATGTTATTCACTTAAATGTGCACTTGTGGTTTCTTTGCACACAATAGGTGCTATGGTTTTTTGTTGTTTCATTTTCATTTCGAATTTTATATGTGCACTTTTGGTGCAAAAGAAGAAATGCAGTATTTTGCTCAAAATCCTGAAGGGAACAACTAATTTGAATATATTAAAGTAATCGCTACAGAATTTCTATAGGAACAAAAGAAGCAAAAACCCACTTCTGAATAAGTTTATGGACTGAGTTTTGGGTATATACCTAATGAAAACATAAAATATATATGCAAGGAGTAAATAATTCTGTGTAATTATGAATCATCATTATCTTTTTTTTATATATATAATATTGCCAAGTAGCATCAAGGGGATTGTGCTAATACATAAGTATCCATAATCCATCAAAGAAAGCACATAATGGTAGTTATCTGAACATTGTTATATTTGTTGAATTCACTTTTTTGCACTGTAAAATATGTATTTAATTTTGAATTAAAAGGAAATGGAAGAAGCTGAAAAATAAGTAGCAGCAATTAATAGTTTTGAATTAATATTTCTAAACCATTTTCTAATAATCAAGATTTCAGTTAAGAGAAGACATTTTAAAAAAAATGTTTAGTTATATTCTAATTAACTGGATATCAGTTAAAAGAAGTTGGATTAAATGGAGCTTTAACTGTAGTTTTATTCAAGTATTTATATTAAATTCAAATCTGCTATTTGTAAGACGTGTATTTCCTTTCTAGGTGCTTAGCAGATTATTATGATGTAATTACAACACCAATTGATCTCCTAAAAATACAGCAGAAATTAAGAACAGACGAATATATGGATGTGCAGCAGTTTTCTGCTGATATTGAATTAATGATTAATAATGCTAGGACATATTACAAGGTTTGTATTTAGTTTTTGTAAATTAATAGAATATAATAAAATAACATAATTATTTCTTTGAGTATTACTGCATTTGTTTGCTAAGTGTTGAGAACAAAATCTGTTTAGGCCACATTTTCAAAACTACATAGCAACCACAGGCAGATGCAAATTAACTTGCTCGAGTAGTGATCTTTTAGTTTTCATTGTTTTTTCATTATTCAATAAATACACTTTTATGCATACAGTCTGCTTGAAGTTTTACTTATTTACATAAGTTCTACACTACTTATTGGTTCGTCGAAGCAGCAGGACCTATGCATTTGTGAATTTTCAATTTGTTTTATGTGGCGTTATTTAACAAAATTCACTTAGTTCAGTTTTGCTATATTAAATTCTACTGTTATTCTTTCAATGTATGGTGATTTCATGTTCTACTGTGATTCTTTTAACTTGTGGTGAGTTCATAATTTCTTTAATGCAATTTGTGCATTTAATTAATTTATAGTTCATAATTCATTTAATGCAATTTCGTGTTCTTGATTGTATTCTATTTTCATAATGGAGAGTTTCAAGACTTTTCTTAATTAAAAAAAAGGCACTTAAATCCTCAATCACCCGTTTAAAGAACTAAACCCTAGATAAAATAAATCAATTGGATTCTGCTATCTTAAATGTTAGAAGAAATGGATTTAATTCTGCGATAGAAGAAATAAATGATATTTTTGCTAAAATAATTGGGTTGTGTATCGAAGATGAAGAAATTGACACGTACTGAGTGGAGAAAGAGAAAATATTTGAAACATATGATGAAATGTTAGTTAATATAAATACAGCAATTTCAAGATGTAAAGAAAGTAGAGTTGATTCTACAGTAGCAGCAAAATCAGTGCTGATGAAAGTATCCGATTCTACTGAAATTAAATTTCCTGTTTTATCCTTACCTACACTTTTTGGTGCTATTTATAAATGGTTAACATTTCCCAATTTCTTTCACGCAGCTGTAAGAAAAAGTGAAAGATTATCTGAGGCTTAGAAGTTACAATATTTAAAGGGGGATGTTCAAAAGATACTACAGTTGCTTTCTATTACTGACAGTTGCATTCGTCAAGGCAACGAGTGGTAGAGGTTCCTAATGTCATCCTTCGACACATTCTGCCAGGCATTTATCTGTTGTCGCTACAGAGCTGCGATATTTTGTGGTACCTGAATCTGGTGGCATACCATGTCCTAGACATTCTCGATTGGTGAAAGGTCTGGTGACCTTGCTGGCCAAGGAAGAGTATCAACCGCACGGAGACAGTCCAAAGATATGTGAGCAGTATGTGGCCTGGCATTATCTTGTTGGAAAATGGCCCCAGGATGACGTGCCATGAAAGGTAATGCAACCGGCCACAGGATAGCATCAACATATTGTTCAGCTGTTAAATATGTACGGAGGATGACTAAAGATGACTTGCCGTCATAAATAGTGCCCTACACCATCTCACCAGGGGTTATGGCTATATGCCCTTGTAAAAGAAAGGCTGATTGGGACCACTGGCCCCATCCTTTCCAGACATGAACACGGTGGTCATCTGCTTCAAAAGTGAAGTGGGATTCATCCCTGAAAACTATATGATGCTAGTCTATAAGCATCGTATAGTGTTGAGTCTATAGGCATTGTATTATATGATCTATGATCATTATGGTTATTATGATTATGACTGACTGCGACACCACTCCAGACGACTCCGCCGATGTTGTGGGAAAGGCAAGCGTCTGTGTTGTTCAGAGGCCAATATTTAGAGTAAAGAAGCCATCGTAGGGCAACACACTTTATTTACATGAATATAAATAAAAAGATCACACAGCAAATCATATTGACCATCACACAGCATATATTTTCTCACCATCTCTATATGCTCTAATGACAGATGTGTCAGGAGAAAGCTGTGCCAGCATAATTAATACGCATGTGCTTAAGGAAAAAAAAGTTTGCTCGCCTCTACCCAACACACCCCTCCTGCGAGCAACATTTTTTCAATACAAAAATGAAATACAAACAATGGATATCACATTACATTAACCCATTAATGAGCCCGTCCCTCGGAATGATATGCTTTGAAAATGGTCGCGCTGTCAGTCAACAAACCCCTCCAAAAAAAAAAAAAAATCGCTTTCGTTTTTTGAAATCTCTCTAAGATGGCCCAGCCTACAGCAGTATGTTTGCTTCCCCTTAGTGTGATGGGTAAGCCATAAAATTGCCTCCCCGCTATTGAATGGCAAGAAGTACTTGTTGCGTTTAGTTTCGTCTCTCCTCTTTCTTTGTACTTGTAGCTTGTAGACTTGTTTCTTTTAATATGTGACGTCCGAATTTTCTGAAATCTTTTTAGAATTTTAGCTTCCAAGCTTGTAAATTTTCAATTATTTGACATGTTTTATTGGGCAGTATTTTAAGAAAGATCATTATTTATTTTGTTACACAATTTTTTTACTATTTACTTATCTATTTTGTTTAGTTTTAGTAGGCCAATTTATTTTGGGAAATTAAATTTTAATCCATTCTTTTACCGACTCAGTTTTCATCACATTATAAGTCCATATATATTTACGATGAGAGTACAATATTTACCAGGAATTTTTGGAAAATTTGGCATACATATTTATATTTTAGTGTTGAATTTTTTCCACAAGTTGTTCGTTAACAGTTGAGCTCATCCTTGTAAATGCTTGATCTTTTCAGCATGGAATCGGCCAGCAATAATCTTTCTAATGTTTTTCGGGATTTTATAGCAATTTCTAGAATTTTGGCTATTATACAGTTGCTACTAATATGGAATTTAAAACCAAAAATGTATTCCTTCATTGATTTGAGAGAGCGCATTTCAAATTTAAACGGAAGTTTAAACGAATTTGATACAATCTTACCACAGACTAGAAAGAATTATTTCTCTGTGTTGGATGGATTTTCTCACTTTTCCGCATTTTATACATTAAATGCATAAAGCAGACAAGTACAAAAATCCCTTTTAATTCTTCAGTTAAATGAATTGTAAAATATATATATATTTAACTTTCAAAATGTATTTGCTCATTTATGCATAAATTTAAAATCGTGGGACTTCCACTTACAAATTATATGACTAAATTGCAGTATTTAAGCTAATAACTGAAATTATAGTACTGAAATGACATAGAATATAAGAATAATTATAGTCAATTTAAATAAATTTCTATTCTATTGTGGTCTATTTAAATAAATTTCTATTTTCATTTAAAAATTTGTCATTATTAGCACCTCCCACAGTTTTATGCAATCATAGAATTTTCTGAATTCTATTAGGTCCTTAACATAATTTCAAGACCTAAAATTTATAAAAATAAATAAATTTATAAAATTTATAAAAAAATAAAATAACCTAGAAAAGTGATAATATGGAAAGACTATGTCTTAAGTACGAATAGCCAAGTATTTGTAATTAAATAATTAAATAAAAATAAATATTGAATACCAGCCACTTTTTTTTATTTATTTTTAGTCATATAACAAAAGATAAACAAGAATACTATTACATCTAAGAATTATTTAGTAAATTATTTTGCTAATTTTATATGAATGAGGAAACACGGTAAAAATGCTTTAATGATTGAATTAACCGTTAAAAATCAAACAAACCAAAATACCTTTTCCCGAAAACTTTGTAAAATGTTTTGATTAAATATGATTTGAATGAGTTTTCCACTTCTGTTTTGAGTGATATAAATTATTATTAGTAATAATTTTTATATTATAACTTAGCAGAATATCGTTTACCGTTAAAAATTATATCTAAAAGAATTAAATTTTGTAAAAGAATAAAAAATATAATTAACTGTTTTTGTCCTTTATGCATCTGTTGATATAAAAATAGATCTGGCTAGGGAATTTACGACTTATATGTGAACTAAAAATTGGTATCTTGACAAAACTTGTCAGAATATAAAAAGCGTATATTCTGTGATATTAGTGTATTAATCATACTTCTGTATACGTAAATGCAGTTTATAATTACAAGCATAAGTATCATAATGGATTTTATTAAAACGACGAAAACTGAATGCATGATCCTAGCACTATAAAACTATGGCTCTTTATCCCGTTAAGTATTGCTTGGGTCGTAACCAACTCGAGTTTTATTTTTTGAAATATTATTCCAAATAAAACAGAAAGCGTTAAACGATATGCATTTTAAACAGTTTTACATTTTTATATGCATAGAAACGTTAAGTAGCTTTAAATTATACTTCATTTCTGAAACTTCTGCGGAACTATTTTTAGAACAGATCAAGGACTTTAAAGAACAAGTACATTTTAGTAATATGCAACATTAATGATATAATTCAAATTTTACTGAACAGCTGTACGATTTGTAACTGGCACTGGAAGAAGCAAAATTTATCTCATGATCCAATCTTCATTTAATGAATTAGTAGGGAATGATACAGGGTGAGCTGCTGGTATGTTAGTTACATATGAAAGCTAAACTACTTTTTTCCCCCACCGACAGTGAGGCAGCCAATCCAGTGGGGCTGTTAGCATAGGAATTTTGCTATTTGCTTGTACAAAAACTGTACTTAAAGCTTTTGTATACTGAATACAGCTCCCGCGAAAAGTGCTGTTTTCTATCTTATTTGTTTTAGATTTCAGATTAAAGGAAAATAATCAGTTCTGTTTCTCAGAGACGGGATTCCTGCCTGCTTGTTTTTCGTGGTTTTCTACATGTGTAACCCAGTTTATACGAAGGCTCATAGCTCTCGTATGCTTTGTTATATTTACATAACCCTAATCCTCATACTACAACTATCACACTAAATTAGGGTAGAAGATTTCGAAACAAGATTTTAAATAAGACTCCGGATCCCCACTTGGCAGAGCATCTAAAATCGCTAAGCACAGCTAGCTCAACACGGGTTCAAATCCTGGCCAACGAGCTGGTTGCATGGAAGTTTTCTTGGCTTTTTTTACAAGTGGAACGAGAATATAAGTCAGATTCTCTTAG